GGCACACAGCCTGCCACACTTCGCTGTTGACAACATACGAATGATAGAATGCTTACCAGAACCTCCTGTCTTCAATGGAGTTTGCAAGAATAAACAACTGAAGTGCAGCATTATGAATGTAAGTCTTTCGAATATGATAAAATATCAAACGAGCAAACGATAACTGCCCATAGACAAACGCAATTTCAGATGCGTTGTCTACCTTTAATGAGGAGGGAGGTCTGTTCCTTAAAAAGAGAATATTTCCTCTTTCCATTCTAATAAGAAAAGAGTTAAAATGGAAAGTTGACTTACCATTATGTCTTCTTCCTTATAGTCGTAGCCATTTTACTTATCAGAAGAAACTAATGGGTAAAAAAATGCAGACGTATTGATAACCCTTTTGATGGAGGGTAAATAAAGAAAACGAGAGAGAGAGAATGGAAATCAGCTCACTATACGTCCCCACTGAGGGGCTCGGAGCCTACCCTAAGTTAGTGACTAGGCCATAGTCAACCACGCTGGCCAAGTGCGGGTTGACATCACACATATCTTTGAATTTATCAGATATGTGCAGCATCACGATGTTTTCCTTCACCGTAAGAACGTCAGATAAATGTACATATGTAAATAGTAAATCGAAAAACACATTGGTACATGGATTTGAATCCAGGACCTGCAGATTGCAAGTAGGAGAGAGGACAATTGTAAAATTGCACAATGTAATAATAGTTTTCAATATAGTTGCTGTAGCGAATCATTTTACACCAGCGCACTTTTCTCTTCTTAATTTAAATCTAATTATATTGTAGAGTTAACCCATTTAAATGTAATTTGCAGAAAGAATCATGTATCAAGTTGCAACAGGTCTGCGATCTGGTGAAAGACTGTGATGATGCAAGCGATGAGAATCAAAACTGCGGTAAGTAGTTGCAGTGGGTTTTCATTGTGTAAATACATTGTTTTATACAAGAACTAATTGACGTCAATATCTAAAGTGGAGATTCTCAAACATTTTTGTGTTTTTTTTTTAAATTTGCCTTCATTCAGTGAAGCCATTTTATTTTTTTTTCAACTTGTAAATCTTCAATTTCGTAACATCGTAGACTCCCGCCCTGTCTCTCTTGGACTCCAGAGTGTACCACCACTTTGAGAATCGCTGATTTTAAATAAGTCCCGTAAAATAAGCTAAGATCGAGTGACTTTAAGTTTTGTTAGTTTTTGAAATATGTTTATCTTTTTTCAGACAAGATGCCTTTTGGTTCGTATTGCAATTTCGAAGCTGGCGCATGTGGATTTATAAATGTTCCCCAGTAAGTATTATTAACTTTATAATTTGTTTAGTTTCAAAATTTCATAACCTCAAATCAATATATTATACTATACGTTTTCTAAAAAAAAAACAATATGTCAATCTTTAAAAATTTTAATACATAAGAAAAACTATTAATTATATATTAATAAGATTACGATTTTTTTATTTACGAAGATAATTTTTTAGTTTGACAAAATTAATTAGTTTTTATTTGGAATATAACCTAAAAATTTAAATTTTTTTACAGGCCAATCTTAAAATGGTCACGTCACAGTGGTCCAACGCCGACAGACAAGACTGGTCCCAACTATGACCATACCTGTGGTCCTCCTGACCCTTACTCTCCTGTTCCTATCCCTCCTCCATTAGTCCCTGCGCATATGAATTACTCTCTCGCGCAATGCGTTGGTTATTATTTCTTTGTCAACATGAATGTGACTGGCCCTAACAAAGAAAAGGCGGATTTCGCATCCACAGCTGTTATGAGGACTGTTGTATTTAATCCACCGCCAAAAGTACATGGAAATATTAGTTCTAGTTACTACAATTGTTGTATGGTAAGTTTTGTACATAAATCAATTTGTTTAAGTTTCAAAATAGGATTCATGGAAATATTTCATGGAATAATTTTAATAAAATTGTTTGGAATGATACGTTTTAAATATCGAGCGTTTAAATTACAAAATTTATTCGCATTTGTATATAGTACGTGTCGTCTTTTGTGTTAGTTAAACCTAAAAGTTCGTAAACAACGTCACATCTCAGATTTCATTAGCTTTGTTTTGCGATTATAAACATTTGCTATTCGATTTTGTCAGGCACAAATAATGAATTTTTCTATTTTATTGTTATAAATAAATACAGAATACTAACGGAATTATAATGATTTCCCACAGATACGTTTCTACTACCAGCAGAATGGTAGGAACTACGGCTCTCTCAGTGTTGATGTGGTAGAAATAACCTCAAGAGGCAACATCACGACATCTTTATGGTTCTCTACCAAAGACAAGGGAGAGAACTGGTATAGAGCAGCTATATTCCTACCAAATGTTACCAGAAGGTTAGTAGTTGATTATATTTAAAAACCAAAAAACACAAATTATAACCTATAAACTAGTGACACCAAAATAAGTCGACAGACTTCAGGATGTCATTTTGAATTGACATTTGCTTAAAAATAAACGCGCGAAAAACATTACCCTTCTTATCGTTGTTTTCTCACATCAAAATCACTTTTTAAATCAAACAATGACATTTTTTATAAATTTTAGCCTCAAAAACCAAAGACAAATCAATCGAGCACAAACATATTGTTGCCTCTGTTCTTTCAAAGAAAATGATAAGGATGACAATAATAGACTAATACATATAATAATGTTTTTTTCTAGATATTTCCTTCAATTCAAGACTCGTATGGGCATGCGGATATACTCGGACTCAGCCATTGATGATTTCTCTATGGCTCCCGAATGTTTCGGCTTAAATATAGATCCTAAAGAGCTGGGAGATTACAATTACTACGATCCTACGTTTGAAGAGAAGACAGAACCACATCCTGACTTTTATGACATACCATGTAAGTTTACTTGTCAACTTAACACTTTCACAGCTGTATGTGGTCATAATGACCCAATTTTCGTAAATATTTTTATTTTATTTTTATATTATATTTTTAGTTTTAAAGTAAACATTTCTCGTAAAGAAATAATTATCATGCAATTAATTGTCATAATTCTGCAAAATCTTCCAATTATTACTAAAAGAATATCTTACTTCTTACTAATATTATAAATACGAATGTTATGGATGTATGGATGGATGTTTGTTAGAAGGTATCTTCAGAACGGGTGTATGAATCTTGCTGAAATTTGTCATAGATGTAGAACATAGTCTGGTAGAACACATAGGCTACGTATGATCCCGAAAATGTATACGATTCCCTTGAAATATATTTGATTTATATATTTACTCAATAATTCAGCAACGGCTCAACACATATTATTAAAATTTGACACAGATATAGAACATAGTCATGAGTAACACTTAACATACTTTTTACTTTAATTCCGCGCAGAAGATGTTGCGGGTAACAGCTAGTTTATAAAAGTAAATAAAGCATAATTTTCTTTTTTTTCTATAACAGACTATCGCTTCACGCCTTGCGGTGCGACGGGAAGATATGGCCCGAACCAGACGATGTGCGATACTGCGTACAACACAACAGAAGTGTCAGTAACGGTGGCCCCAGACCCGCCGTACCAAGGAATACAGATATGGACGGTGCCCGAAGAGGGACTTTATACGTAAGTATTCAATTTATACAGACAGCTAGACATTTACATTTCATTTAACGTGTTTGAAAGGCACATGTACAAAAGTGATGTCATAATAAGAATCGGTGGTTAAAGTGTTAAAAATAAACTCCATAGCAAACCAAATGAAACTTCAGATTAAAAATCACAATAGACTTATACTTAGAAAATGACTGAAATTACGCCTTCAAAACATCAGTCATCAGATTAAACCAATACCAATTAGCCATTTTTATGTTACGGTGAAGGACAACATCGTGATGCTGTACATATCTGCGAAGAAATTCAAAGATATTTGTGAAGTCAACCCGCACTGGGCCAGCATTGACTATGGCCTAGTCACTGACTTAGTGTAGGCTTCGTACTCATTGGGGATATATGAGGAGCTGATGATGATAGTGTACTTGTTAATAGTTAACCCTTTCCCCGCTAGTGTAATAGCAACGGGTGGGTCAGGCGGGCTGGGTTCTGCGTGGACAGGCGTATCGCACGGCGCGCAAATCCGTGCAGTGTTCGAGTTGCATCGTGGAGAACTTGTATATATGCTGGTGGGGCAACCTGGGCTTAACGCTTGTAAGAAGGTAAGCTTAAATTACGTAATATTCAAAAACTACAAAAGAACTCTTGAATTATGATGAAATCTTTGCATAAGGAACAGGTAGACGATGATAACACAATACCCCTTCTTACATTATTTATATGTATGCACTTTTAATTCATAAAGCCATACTTTACGTTAAACTTAACTGTTTCTTGCAGACGCTATCTGCCCAGGAGTCTCAGGAATGTTCTCGAAGGCAGCCAAACGAGACGCAGCAGATTTTCACGAGTAAGACGCACGAGGTGCGCAACACACAAGTGCACGACGGTGGGGGAGGGGGAGGTGGGGCCACCTTCGTCTTTCTGGTGAGTTTCCAAAATGTCCTTATCCTATTTCTGCTATAGCAAACTTTTATATACTTTGACCCGCCCTGTGGTTGTTTCCTTCTCCTCGCATGTTATGTGCGACAACTCATAGACTAACCGTTGGGTTCCCACACCAAAATCCCTGGTTAAAACATATTGTTTTCTCTTTCTTTTTCGCGAATATTAAATATTTCTCTTTGTTAGTCTACCAAAGTAAAAGACGTCTATTTGTTAGCGAATGTTATTCAAATAGATCGACAAAGAAGACAAGAAACATCCTCTGTTGATCGCGGGCGGTGGCGGCGGTCTGAGTGTTGGCGTGTTCCATGACGACGGCTCGCAGCACGCAAAGGGACGGACCAACTCCACGCCCGAGTCTGGGTATATGTACGGGCCTCCGGGGAAGACTTCCGGTCAGTATGTGTTTCGCGACGCGGCGGTCAAACGGTTATAGAAAGAATTATTTTATTATTACAACAATTAAAAATCTTAATTCCATGTTTTATTCAGCTTTGTAAGTAAGGGTTAGGTTCTAGCTAAATTAGGTCTTTAAGCAATTTTTTCTTCAAGAAGGAGAATTACGTGGATATTTACCTATTATCAATATTTATAAAAGTCTGACCACTTTTCTGGAATGAAAATATTTTCAAGCATATTGTCTCCGTGACGATGTAGGTGCGGGAGGTGGGTGGGTGTCACGACTGGGGCCAAGCACTCCGGGACACGAGGTGGCGCGGGGCGGGGCGCTGCCGGAGGGCGGGGTGGGGGGTCTGGCGTGTGCGGGGGGTGCACACGGCGGCTTCGGAGGCGGCGGCGGCGGGTGCAGGCGCGGCGGCGGGGGCGGGGGATGGCTAGGTAACTACACGTAACAAGAAAACACGTAAGAGCAAGAGAACTATATATTGCTCTCTCACTCCATTAGGCCATTTCATTTAGTCTTACAAACTTTAAAACTAGGATAAGTGTGTGTTTCAGTCTTAATTTTAGTCCCCTTTCCCTTCCCACCGTTTTCTTATAAGGAAAGAATGGAAAAGTGAAGGGTATTTGATGGAGGGGAGGCATAGGTAGGCAATGCATCGGCAATTGCGGGTGACTATAGACAATAGTCGCTTCGTTGGCGACTCGTTTGCCACTTTGTCATATTAAAAAAAAAATAGTTAATCTTTGAAATTCAATTGCATTGGATACTTGTACTGATTTTCTTAGGAATTAAACTGGCGGCATGTTTTATGGCAGTATATTGAGAGTACAAGATCATCTAAATGATGAAATATTTCAACGAAGCGTAATCAATCAGGTGGCAACACGAATGAGGGCGAGGGTGAGCACGGCGGCGGGGGATGGTCGTACGTGGACCCGGGGCGCACTCTGCGCGGATACACGCGCGTCTCCTCCGCGCCGCGCACCGGCCCCGGGGAGGTGCTGATACTGCCCGCTGCACATGTCAGTACTTACATCACTTTTAACCCATGAAGGTCCAGCTCGTCTGGTGCAATACCACTATCACACAGAAGACACGACTCAATGCAAAGTCATTTTAACAGTCTGATGTCTGTGTCGCGGAAATTTTGGTCTTTCCCATCTTTTTCTTATATGAAAAAGAAAGGGGAAGTGAATTTAGTGAAGAGACGCATAGTACGAATCTTGTTGCTGTATCACTCTATCAATTTTATCTTACTAATTTAAATGAGAATTTAAAAACGCTAAAAGCTAAAATGTATCTCCAGAAGGGCTGTATCAATCTTGATGATATTTGTCATAGATGTAGAACATAGTCTGGAAGAACACATAACGAACGAAAGGATGGGATCTCAGACGCTAGTATTACTACGACTATACTATACCAATGTGTTTTCCACAGAAATGTGGATGCGCGTATCGCTGCATAGCTCTGAACGAGTACAGGAGCGAGGTCACCTGCTACTGCCCTGCCTCCTGGCAGTCTGACGCCTCTGACCCCACCAAGTGTATATGTAAGTCTAAAGAATTGTCTATGTTCCGAGCTGACATGATATTTGAAAAACTCTATACAAGGAAGGCAGTTCTAAAAAACTGCTATAGATTTTTCAGAATTTAACAAAATTATTTGCTTGTGACCTTTAAAACTACTGCTACGATTTAAGAAAAAAATTAAGTTCTTTTGGGCATTTCTGGCGCAATGGGCGCAATTTTTGTGGCGCTCCTTTTTTTGTTTCCGGGGAAATCTTCTAAAGATAGGGTATGTTAAGGGACACAGCATGCGCCCCTTTATATCGGACTCTGGTCTGCAGGGGGCACCTCCCTTTACGCCCGGGGCCCTGGACTGTCGCACCACCTCGCCGTACCTGTCGCCAGTACTGGTTACCGATCAGGCTACTTTTGATGATATTTATTACTAATACAAAGTGGAATTAATATGTTTAATATGTTTCGTAGTAAAAGAGACGTGGAACAAAGGATGGACAATGTTTGTTGTCGGGATGGTTGGCATCACTGTGTCCTCCGTCATCTTGATCTGCCTCTCTCTAAATTTCTGTAAGTATCAATCTGTAATGCCAACAATTTAATAATTATGCGTAGGGATTAATTAAAGTTAATTAGTAAAATATATAATAGTACTAAGTAAATTCTTCTAACATTTAAAAAAAACCATGAATGGATTAAAAGAGGAATGAGGATGGAAAGATATGTGTAAGAAAGAGGTAGATTCAGATATGGCGGCTGATAGAGATGTATGAAGGAGTACTGTGCTGACCCTCCGTAAGGATAGGGGTACGATGGTGATGATGATTTAAATAGAAATATCAAATCAAAGGAATCAATCTAGTCATGGAAATGGATTAAAAGTTCTCAAGTTGCAAAAGATTCTTTCCTCGTCTGTTTCCTGCCCTCTACTTACGTAGAGTCAGAATGTCCTCTTCCTTGCATCTCAATCAGCTGTTATATCTTTATTTACTTCTTTCGTATGTATTTATTCTTTTACACAATCTACACTAAGGTCTCCCTCTACCTTTGTAGGTACATACTTGGTTGGTTTCTATGACTAAAATCTCTGTATGAAACATATCATCCCTGTCATTAGTTTTAACGGGGATTTTTGGTCTCACAGTTAAAGAAAACCTTTTACATTTAGATAATAGATATCAGCGTAAGAAGGAAGCAGAAATCAATCAGAAGCGTCTTCTAGAACAAGAGGTACAGTTACATCGCCTTAGGAATGCTCCGGGAGGCAATGAGCCTCTCTCCATGGCCTTCAATCCTCATTATGGCAGTGAAAGTATACTGCCCAGAGGAGTTGATGTCAGAGGTCTACCGAAGGTCTCGAGGGAAAGCTTAAAACTTGTTAAGTAAGTATTTGCATTGTTAGAATTCTAAACTTTTAAGACGGACCACACAGAAGACAGGGAGATTGTGTTCTACATGTGTGTCGAATTTCACCAAAATCATTTTTTTTATATCATAAGATGGCAAACGGTCACCTAAAATCGCTGAAATAGCGAAGTAACCTTTGCCCATAGACATACGCAATTGTATATGCGTTACCTACCTTTAATCGACGGAGGAGAGGATGCACAGAAAGAAAATATCTTCCCTTTCCAAGCATCCTCTCATCCGGAAAGTCCATTTCCTGATCCTTTCCTTATAAGAAAAAGGATGGAAAGGGAAAGAGAACTAAATTAGGCCTCTCGGATGCACACTCATCAGACTGTACTTGGAATAGCTTCCACTTGACGCCTGTCTTCTGTGTGGTCGTGGTATTTCACCAGGATAGCCGGGACTATTCGTGCGAAGATGTTAAAGCTGGCTCTACCACTGTTAAATCTGTTTAGTCGTTCCAAATATTCCTTATACATCCATCTAAACATTCGCATTTGTAAGACTAAGACTAAGATTAAGATGACCAGTGAGTTCTTATTTTTTTATTGGCAATTACTATTATTAGTATATTTATCTAGAATATTATTTTCAGGGCACTAGGTCAAGGTGCATTTGGAGAAGTATATCAAGGTCTGTACA